GATTCAGATGGCATTGTGTCTTTGAAGCTGACTACTATCAGGGTGTGAGGTAGAATAGATTTTGTAGCCTCGAACACGGGCTGTCCGTCCAGCAGCATGGCAGTCATGTTTGGTTCCATGTCCGTGTTCATGGTTTCGCCGCCGTTCGACTGTGGATCGCTGCACCTCGCGGTTCCCACCAGAAAGCGAACCCAATTGCACTGCCTTACCCTTCGATTATTGTCGAGTTGTTGAACCATGTCGAAAGAACCAAATTTGCATCGCACCTGTGAAACAAACCAACTACTTTAAAGCTGCATGTACAGGTTAAAGCCACCAATTGGAGCATGAAACTACATAATACAGCAGATGTCAAGTTGTTTCAATTTACAAGCCAGTAATGACAAAACAGGATCTAATTTGCAGAGGTGTTATGGACGCTGTGTCTTATAATGCTACTTTGAACATTTGTATAGTTTCTAAAGTTATTTGAATCTTTTTAAGTGAAAATGATTGGTTGCAGACACGTCGAAACATATATTTTATTTTTTATTTTATTTTTATCTTATATGCGTCATGTTTGTGTTTGATTAAATATATTTATTTTGTACAGTCTATACACAAACGTTTGAAGTTTATTGGTGTTGTAAAAATTATATTGTAAAATCGTATTTACGATTAAGAGCGCTAATATAATATTTTACACAACAAAATGTTTTAATATTATATAATTTTTACAACATCAATAAACTTCAAACGTTTGTGTATAGACTGTACAAAATAAATATATATATTTTATTATTTGATTTTTTTTTAAAGTTTCAATTATTCCAGACGAATTATAGTTTAATGTAGACTTTTATGCAAGAGTGTTATTCCAGAAAAATATATTTTCCTGAATGTGTGGACATAGGGTGTACATGTTGTGACTTTCTATACTAGGCCTGCATTCTTCTGGCGTTAAGAACAAGGGACTTAGGGCCTTTTACTTTCAACTGCGTCACGCGTAGGACTACAAAGTCGAACCTTCTGCTTGTCACATCAGTCTGGGCTGTGGTGTACTCACGTTCATCCTACCAGATGATAATTCCTTGTGCTAACTCAGCGATTACAGGAGCTAATTATAGTCACCACAAGAAAATTATACACAAAGAACAAAAATACAAGACAACGCATTCATAAAGTAAAGACAGTAAAAGATTCTAGTACGCGATAATGATGATGAAGGCAAGAAATAATGAAGCCTTTTTAAATGTTCCTTATGAATATTACATTAAAGTAATGTCGCATCTGATGTAATGTATTCAATTTTAAGTTGTCCAAAACATAGTTGCAATTGTATGCAAAAAGATTTTTAGGGCAGCAAGCACCTCGTGTGTCTCCAGACGTTTCGTCAATGGGCAATGCAGTTCTGAAATATCAGTGGCGTTATCGCCTGCATAAGGATGCTTAATCGCTCTTTGTTACGATAAACAACAAACTTTGTAATCTTCCATCTAAGTCACTGCTTCCAAAACTTTTTCTTTCATTACCCAAAACCGCTTATCAGAAGGTCCTTTTTACCCGATGTAGGTAAAACACTGACTGCACATAAAACATATATGACAAGTGACGAGAGATCGGTAAAAATTAGGAAGCAATCAATAAGTTTGATGCAATGTCTTTATTTTAAACGTCTCTAAACATGAAGATATCCGTCTTCTGGGTTATTGCGCTGTGTAGTCTGGTCGATGTTAACCAACGTTTCAGAGGTCATACTGCCTCCGTCATCAGGGCGATGAATATGCCAATAGGGTGTGAGGAGTTGGATTTATAGGCCGGGAAGTGAAAGGTGTAGCCTGCCCCGAGCCAATGGGAGCAGGTATGGGAGTGGACCAATGGTAGCACGTGGGCGAGAGTGGGAGAGGGAGAGAAAGTAGAGAGAGAAAGGTGAGTTTGGTTGTATGGATCACGGTCTCTAAACATTTTAGCGGCCACAAAATATTTGGTAATTATTCACCATGAATATTTCATCACCCAGGTCCCAGCTAATGAGTACAAAGCCAGTGCTCCATATTATTTACTAGTTCCGCGAAATTGGGAGCAATTGGAGACACCTCACATCGTATTCGGGGTTCCGCAGATAGTTTCTTTCTGTGGCAGGAGTGGAAAATCCTACTTCACACATGTAGGTCCTCGGAAACTGCATCACGGCCTCCCCAGCTACCACAGGATATTCATCGTGAATTGTTAAACAGAAAGACTCCAAATGGTTCTTATTTCTTCAAATAATATTTTGCACTGAATTCGTGACCTAAGCTCCATCATTTGCTCTGCAAAAAC